CGAGACGATGACGAATGGCAGCTGGCGAAGTGGCTCATTAAACATGTGGGCCACACAGCGACAGATGAGTTTCTGAAGCTATCTATTGTGAGTGCTTGAATCGCGGACTGGCCGAGAAATACTGACCAACACCAATTTTCAGATCAGTGAACGCGCCAACCCGTCCTTCGGAGGCAAAAGGGACTTCTTCGAAAAGATTGATAGCTTGCCCGGTGGTGTTAAATGGCACTGCAAGCTCATGGACACCAAAGGCGACTTGCCTGATTTGGAAAAGGATCCCACTGGCGCTACGATGCGGCAAGAGCAGAACGAGCTCTGGTTCAGGGATCCTGTCGAGTGCGTGCAAGAGTTGATGGGAAACCCTGCATTTCGCCACGCAATAAGATACGCTCCCGAGAAATTGTATGCGGACGCTGCAGAGACGGTCGAGGTCGTGAATGAGATGTGGACGGCGAGCTGGTGGTGGGAGATACAGGTAGGAATCTTACAGTCGTGGCGTCTGATATGTGAAATTTACCGATTGACCATCAGAAACGACTTCCTCCCGGAGCCACTATTGCACCACTCATTCTGTCGTCGGACAAAACAATGCTCTCCAATTTCCGCGGTGACAATTCCGCTTGGCCAGTATACCTAACAATTGGGAATATCGGCAAAGAAACTCGGCGAAACGTTTCTTCGCATGCGACCGTCTTGATTGGATACCTCCCCATCCCAAAATTCGCCTGCTTCGACAAAAATACGCGCTCCCTCGCAAAATATCGTCTCTTCCATCGTTGCATGAGCCTGATAATGGAGTCTATTGTTGAGGCGGGCAAGACTGGCGTCTCGATGGTTTGCGCCGATCGCCACATCCGTAACGTCTGGCCAATTTTTGCTGCATACGTCGCGGATTATCCAGAGCAATGCTTGATTGGATGCTGCAAAGAGAATCGCTGTCCCATTTGCACTGTCGCCCCGGACCAGCGCGGCGACCATCGGGAACACCTACCCCGGGATGTTCGGGAGACTCTTTATCTCATGCAGCGCCAGCAAGCCGGGGAAAAAGATTCTATCTTCGAAGACGACGGCATTCGCGCGGTCTACCCCCCGTTTTGGGCCAATCTCCCGCATTCCGACATTTTCCAGTCCTTTACCCCCGACCTCCTGCATCAACTCCACAAAGGTGTCTTCAAAGACCACCTGGTGACCTGGTGTACGGAAATTATCACGAAGCTAGAGGTCGACAGGCGCTTTCGCGAGATGCCTGATCATCCCGGTGTACGGCATTTCAAGGACGGTATCTCCTCAGTTTCGCAGTGGACGGGCACGGAGCATAAAGAGATGGAGAAGGTTTTCCTGGGGCTGATAGCGGCGGGAGCCGAGCCCGAGATGGTGATCGCTGTGCGCGGGCTCATGGACTTTGCCTACTTTGCGTCACTACAATCCCACACCTCCGAAACTCTCCTCGGCCTCCGAGAGTCGCTGAATGCCTTCCACGAGAACAAACAAATCTTTATCGACCTCAAAGGGCGCAGTAGCCATTTCAATATTCCTAAAATCCACTCCCTCGACCACTACGAGTTTCTAATTCGCCTTTTTGGGTCCGCCGATGGCTTTAATACCGAATCTCCCGAACGTCTCCATATCGACTACGCCAAAAATGCTTACCGAGCCAGCAACAGGAAGGATTACATCGACCAAATGACTGTTTGGCTCGAGCGACAGGAGGCGGTTGCTCGCTTCACCGCGTATCTGGATTGGAAGGAGTCAAAAACACACCCCACGCCGCCGCCCCAAGGCTCTTCTTCCCCCATTCCCTCACAAACCGCTGTTAGTCGGCCCTCAAACGCTGACAAGGACGCCCTGGTGGTCTCTCGCCAACAATTTTCAATGGCCAAACTGCCCGCAACTCGCGCTGTTTCTGCTACTCACATTATTTCTCCGCAGGGCCACAACGCCTCACGGTTTATCCCCGCCCTGGAAGCCTTCGTGGACAAAGTAAACCCGCGGCGCCGCTTCCAGCCTCATACATTTGATATGTTCGGGACGTGGAAACGAATCAGCTTCCAGCTCCCTCGAATACCCGAGGTCGGCGCCCGGCATTCTACAAACTTGGTCCGCGCCACGGCTCCTCGACCAGCAAACTTTATTCAACGCCAAGCTGAAGAGCCTGCCCACCAGGATTTTGCTCTCATCCGGACGGGCGAAGCTAATCCTTGGACAGCAGGTACTGCCGTTGAAGGTAAATTACATCCCTTCAAATATGTGTGTGCTCATTTTTTGCAGGGCTTCGCGTCGCGCAGGTCAAAGTAATTTTTCAGCCCCCCAAACATTATCCTCTCCAGCCCGGTGTACCTTTAGCGTACATTGAATGGTTCACTCCTCTCAGAACTCCGGATCCTCTCGACGGATATTATCACATAACCCGCTCTACTCGGCAGCAGCGCCCCTACGCCGAAATCATCACCGTCGATCGCATCGTCCGGAACGCCATGCTGATTCCACGGAAATGGGGTGAAGACAAATCATATCTTCTCAATTCACACTCGGATGGCCACGCATTTTGTCTATATAAACTAGGATACCACGACTCGTTACCGACATAATATTTACTCTGTCACTTTGCTAGACATCATCAGGAATCAGAAACTCGCGCTATTGCTTTGAGCAGAGGTGGTATTGAGTAAATTCATAACAAATTGTGCCTAGGGTACATTCTCTTTATTGTCTAGGTCACCAGCTACTGCGAACGCGCGAAGCTCTCTATGCTTGCGACGTAGTCGTATAGTGACCGCGGCGAGATTGCGCAGTTTCCTCACAATGCGCGCGGCCTCATCGCGCGCGCGCTGCCGCTTTCGCTCCATGTCTGCGGCCTGAATTGACTGTTAGTCGTAATAAATGAATTTGATAGCACTGTCGGCGACTCGGCGTACCTTTTTACTGGGGCCCGGCGTCACACGACGAACCAAATTAAAGCAGCGCGGGACTGGACTCTGCGGGATTGGGCTGGGGCAGAGGTCCTAGAAGGAGGCGTGAAGCAGTCGCCGATGTGAGTCAAAGCAGACATACCGTAGGCGGAACACGCCGTACAAGGCGTGCGCCGCGGCAAATTCTCGTGTCCGCCACAGGTAAGTCTGGAATGGCGCCGTAGAGCGTCGGAGTACCACCGTGACGTCGGTGGAGAGCCCCCTCGCTCGCAATGCTGGTGGGCTGTATCAAAGACATTTATTAGCACCAGTCAAGGATCTCGCGCCAAATGAAACAACTCACACTGCAGAGATACGCCTCGCCATCCTCGAATGGCTGGGAAGAGCCAACGATCTCAACTTCTCCGTCGCCGCCAGCAGCAGAAGTACCCCGGCGAAGTGGGGACGTTGGCGACAGCGCACAGTGAAGTGGCGGGCCGTAATCCTCCGCTCCGAGTCTTGCACTTGGATGTGTTAGGAAGCCGAGATCGTCGTCGCCGTCTTGCCAGGGTTGTGAACTTGGGACGAAATCCATTGCGGTGAAAACGAGATGAGGGAACTAGCCAGCGGCAGAGTGCGGAGTACTAGGTGGTGGCTCAGTCCAAGAGCCTTGAAGGTTTGCCAGTGCCAGATGGGATTCCTTAGAAAGGGACATGGCCCTGTAGCGCGAGATAGAGAGGGAGAGTCGATATTGAGGGCGACGTCTATGGTAGAGACGTGGCTCTATGGAGCCCTATCGGGAAGCTGCGGATCTATCAGACGCTATTCCGTGATCGGCGATCTATGTAGCGGCCCGGCCTCTATGTGGGTGGGAGGCGTTTGCAGATGTGGGTAAGTTAGGTTGGTTTCAAAGTAGAAAGTAGATGTACCTGAGATAGACTTAACGAATTTTCGCACTCGTAGTTTGCTCGTCCTGCGGTTCACGAACTAAAATTTTGGGAGTGAGTAGGTCAGGTTCAAAAATACTCATCCTACTGTATTCCACATTCCGACGCGGGGAATCGAACCCCGTTCTGCGAGCTGTGAATTTCGTGCTACCGCCTGTACAAAGTCCCGCCGCGTGGCCCTACACCACGTCCGATTTCTTTCGGTACGAAACATATGAGCGAGGTTTGATTTTTTTTTTTTAGGTGGGGAAAACATCCGGGTTGGAATCCGAGCCCACAACCGATGACGACCGAAGTAGGGATTCAGAGAAGCGAGGTCGCCCGGGGGTCAGGGATGAGTGCTCCTATTGTATTTGGGTCCGTGGGTAAAAGGAAAGAGCAAGACTTAAGATACACGACATATTCGAACGCGGGGAGTCGAACCCCGTCCAGCGAGCTGTAGGCTTCTATCTCGCTGTTTCAGAGAGCCTCGCGGTGTACCGTACACCATGTCCGATTTTTTCTGGTATGCATTCGTATAGCTGCTAAGTGAGGTTGATTTTCGGGGAGGAGAACGCCCGCGTTGAAATCGGAACCGACAAGCGATGAGCCTAAGACTGCCAAAGTAGAGGACTCGGAGAGGTCAGGGTGTCCGCGGGTCAGGGGACGAACATTCCTATTGTATGAGCCGTTGAGTCGGGGTGAGCAAAAGGAAAGAGCAAGATATAAAAATTATCAATATGTACGACACATTCGGACTCGAGGAGTCGAACCCCGTTCTGCGAGTTGTAGGCTTCTATATCACCGGTTCAGTAGAGCCTCGCGGTGTACCGTACACCGCGTCCGATTTCTTCCAGTATTCCGAATACTACATCACGTTGGAAATCGATGGCGACCGAAGTCCGTGCTGCGAGTTATAAACTTGTTCAAAGTTACACGCACCCTCGCTGTGTGCCGTCTACCACCTCCGATGTATATACCTCATCCTGGGCCGCCCAAATTAGGTTGATATTTCAGTCGTCAAGCATACTGATGTTGCGCTCCGTAAGCTCGGCGCCCCGATATTTTGTTTGTGCAAGGGCGAGCACTGACACTGGCAGTGGTTGGTGGATCCGAAATGTGAAACGTTAACCGAGGCTCTGGGGGACCAAGATCACAAAAAGTCAATACACTCGATTCAAAGCCATTCGAACGCGGGGAGTCGAACCCCGTTCTGCGAGCTGTACACTGATTTTCATTACCGTGCTAGAGAGCCTCACGATATGCCCTACACCACGTTCGAGTTTCTTGCTTCGTTCCAACCTACGCCAACCCACGTTTTAGATGAAAAAAAAAAAAAAAACCAAAGGCATGGAATAAACGCACACGCAGAAGACCTGGAAAATTGTGGGAGGGTGGCGTAGGTCCTGTTCTAACTCCTACCTGTGGTGTAAGAAGATAAGTTGCTGCGAGACAGATTAGTAGCTCGAAGGAAGAGGCTGACCAAAAAGTTGAACAGTGTAGTCTAATTCAGACGCGGGGAGTCGAACCCCGTACTGCGAGCTATGTAGATATACGCCTCAGACAGCCTCGCGGTGTGCCCTACGCCACATCCGATGTATACCTTTACTTTTGCGCTGGAGAAATGAACTTGATTTTATTCATTCCGTAGGCGAGACGGACGACCTGTACCCGGTGAGGTACTACAAATTGTTGTGCATTCCACTAAACTTTATACCCCATGGGAGATTAGTTTAGGAAGGGAGCAGGAGGGTGAGACATACTTGTTTTAGAAAAAGGGCTTGAGCACTCGTAGTGCGGACGCGGGGAGTCGAACCCGTCGTGAATAATTCACTCACGCAAATTTCATGCTGCTTCGCTGTGCGCCGTGCACCACGTCCGTGTTGAAAGCACTGGAAAGGGCAAGAGGAAAGAATCGCAGCGAGGGCACCTTGAAAACCATGGAAATATTGATTTGCATTCGAGAATCGAATTTCCTCTGAATCCGCACTGAAGGTTCATGCCGACGCGGGTTTAGAGCTAGCTAAGTATCTTCAATTTTTATCCTGAATCGTAGGGCAGTCGTTGGGTGGGAACGCCAGAGCGCGCTGGCAGTGGACGTTGTGGTTCGGGAAAAGAGCGCGCGCCGGCCCGCTCTGTATTCACTTGTTGTTGGGCGCTTAGAATTCCGGCCCGGCATTTTCTCCCGAGTGGATTGGCATCCACTCGAACGCCATCCACCGGAATTACCACCGCACATCGAGGCGACGCTCTACTGCTTCAAGCTTCATCATGTATATGGCCGAGATTCAGAGAGAGAGAAAAGTCCGCAAGTAACTTCTCGTTTTTTTTCAGATATGCTTTCGACAAGTTGGCGATAGATGAGACGTTGTAGTAGATTCATGGTGAAAGAGACCCACACCGACATCGTCCTTCAGTGATTTCGACGGGTTTCAGCCTACGCGGTGTCTTCTGAGTGGCAGAACAGAGGAGGATCATTCGGAAATGTGCGCGGATGTGTAACCGTCGAGCTGAAGGATTCGGGTTCGCCGCAGTATTGCGACTACTCATTTTCACCGGAACAGCCCCGTGAAAGGCGTAGCAGAATAGCTGCTAAGGTCGGGTGGGCTTCACACGGTGTCTTGATTGTACTGACAAAATCTTCGCCATGAAGGATGCGTGCATACACCGATAACTTGCAGCCTGCAGCTGACGCCGCACTATGGATATGGCACCCCTCGAAGTTTTTTGGAAACCGGGGAACTCCCGACGCGATTCCCCTCAACAACGCGTCGTCGCGACGCCCGCCGGCGCATGCTCTATGCATCTCTTCGCACCCCGACTGCACCGACCTTTAGTGGCGGGTACAGGATCCTAGGACGGCTGAGCGCGGCCAGCATGACAAGGACGTGCGATATGCCGCCCACGCTGTACCCGTCGCACAACTCCCCGTGTGGTACGCACCGCAATCATGCATGTACTTGTACCACCCAGCCGGCAATGACCATGCCCCGTTTGGGTCTACATTTGCAGGCTTCCGGGATTTTTTCCAATTCGCCACCTGAGAGGTGCGCGCTTCCTACCGCCCACCACTATCAAACCCTCTCTCGAACTTGTATGCAGCGCGAACGACGCCTGACCCAATTCGACTGCGGTCACTGCACAATCGGCGTGATCCCGTTATGATGCGACTTCTTTTCCTTCTCCCTGCTCCCTGGGCCTTCGCTATACCACCTGCTGGCCACTCGGTCGCCGTATTCGACTCTGCGCCGACGACACGGCCTCCCCTCCCTGCTTTCTCTCCCTTCACCTTACCCTCGTCCGTCTGCACCGTTCGCGGCTCCACACCCAACCGCCCACGAAACCTGCATCCCCCCTTGCGCCGCTCCGTCAACCTCACCGCAAGTGGATTGAAGAGGCTTATTGGGACGTCGGGGCCTCCATCATGGGGCTGGGGATGCGCCTGAAAATGGATGCGGAGAAGGGCAGGCGCGGATGCGGATGCGGAGCGCAATACAGCGCGGCCTCGCATTTTTTTCCCGCTTGCGCTTGGCCGTTACCACACGCTCGTCCCCTCGGCTTCGTTCTCCCGGCTCTCATCAAACGACCTCGCGCAGCTGCGTCCGCGCCCGCGCGCGCTTATGCATGCGTTGGTATCCGTGGCGGCGTCAAGTCCTTCTGCGGCGGAGATGCCGATGGGGAGGGAGGGAGATACAAATGGCGAGCAGGCGGGCGGCGCGGAAGGTCATGGAAGGCCTAAGGAGATGAGACGAAGGAAAAATGGGGTACAACGAAGCACGTAGACGAGGCGCTACACCCACCATCCACCGGCCCGCCTGCGCTGCGCGTACGACGCTCGTTTCTTCTGTGTGCGTACTGCGACGATGGGGAGGAGTAGGCGAGTGCAGATGGGCGAGGGCAGATGCGGGTGCGGATGGGGGCGGATGGATCCTGTGCGAATGCGTGGACGAGGATCCATAGAAAGCAGGTGGGGTGCCCCTTGACACGTTACGCCCACCACCGACTAGCCCACGCGCGCTGCGCGCACGAGCTCCCTCCTCCTCCGCGCGGGAAGATATGATGGGGAGCGAGATGGAGATGCGGGCGCGGGCAGGCAGTTGCGGGCGCAGAATGAGGGCGGATGGATACTATATGAATGGGCAGACGACGGCCTCGAGAATATAAGCAGAAGCAGGAGACGGGGAGCACGAGGGGACGATGGAGCGCCCGTCGACGCGCGTGATACCCCACAACAACCCCGCGCCCTGCGCGTACGGCCGTGTTCTTCTTTCGCGCGCGCCCGCGGAGACGATTAGGAGGGAGATGGAGATGGGCGAGCGGGCAGATGCTCGCGCGAAGGTGCAGGAGAAGGGGAAGCAGGGGATGCCGCTACCCTTGACGCCGCCATCGACTGACCCACGCGCGCACAACGCTCGCTCCTGCTCCGCGCCCACAGATCCGCGCCCGCGTACATCATCAGCCTTCCTTCAAGTTTGCGCTGACTCGTCACAGCCGATTTTGCCCACACGTCGACGGTGGGAGGTGCTTTACGAGCCGGGAGGGATGAAGATGCCCGTGGCATGTCGAAGCCCGCAGGCATGCGCACCGCATTCAGCTCTCGCTCTCGTCCTCACCTCTCCGCCCAACTTCTCCTGGCGCGCGCGCATTTTCGATATAGGGTGCGGAGACCCATCTCACCTCCAATACAGTGCTTCTGCATCGTCGTGGGCTGCCTTTCCAAGGTGTAGGTAGGTTCATCTCCCCTGATCTGAGGCGGTCGACACTGACGTGTTTCGGTTCTAGGGATGTATCTCGTTTGCGTGCTGCTAGTATATTGCTCGAGCGCCTCGCGCTCGTCGCGTACACAAGGGCCGTGCTCGGTCTTCTCGCGCCGGACTCTGTGGTAGCGATTGCGTTCGCGCAATAGGCGCCGCCGTCCCCTCCTTCTGCTTCTACCTACGCTCGTGCCCCGCTGCCTCGCCACTACTCGTTTCCTTGGCCCGCGTAGAATGTCGCTCTCGGTCCCATACCCGCCGGGGCGAGCCCATCATACGCGTCACTCGAGACTGGGCTTGAAGGGCAGGGAGGAAGGAGGTGGGGATGGAGGATGCGAGTACCCTCACCGTCATCCCGGTTTCGATGACCACCTTCACGTTGCCGAGTCCACTGGTCCACCGGCGTACACAGGGGCCGTACGTGTCGTTGCGGCTGCCCACCCGCGCTCGGTCTTCTCGCGCCACACAGATTGCGGTTCGCACAATAGGCGCCGCCCCCGCCACGCTCGTTCCCTCCTTCCGACTTCTACCTACGCTCGTCCCCGCTGCCTCGCCACTACTCGTTTCCCTGACCCGCGTAGAGTGTCGCCCTCGGTCCCATACCTGCCGGCGAGCCCATCATACACGTCGCTCGAGACTGCGCTTGAAGGGCCGGGACGAAGGAGGTGGGGACGAAGGAGTGCGGGGGTGCGGTGGAGAATACGGGACTGGACGTGCCCTCCAGACCTCCCCCGGCGTCATCCTGTTTTCTATCCCTCCATGGCCGCATTCCATCTTCTCGAGCCGCGCTCTCTTGTGGCCCGTGACGGCGACGTACTTGGCGGCGCGAACCGACGGCGAGTAGGATCCGGATTTGCTGCTTGCGACGGTCGTACTCGGTCCCCGAGTGCTCCCGAAGCGTTAGTACACAAGCAGCGCGCCCATGTCTTTCTTTCGGCACCCTACCCGTCCCGCAGTGACATCCAAGGCCCCGTCTCCGAGTTCCAGTAGCCCCCAGCCGCCGCCACTACTTTCTCGGCGATGTCGCCTCTTTCGGCGTCAAGCTTCTTTTGCGGAAGTGGGATGCCTTGGTCGATGCACAGAGGGCTGCGTGATAGACGTTCGGCAGGGCCCCTCGTCCTTCATCTCCTGTGCTTGGCGCTGCCCGAGCAAGGGTGGGCGAGCAATGGACGCTCCCGCTCGTCGTTGTCAGTGAGTGGGGTGGGCGGTGCGCGGCGCGCCGAATAACTCGTGTCGTGTGCGGAAATGTGCGGGGCAATCGGAACTCACGCCATGCTTCCTCTCTCGCGCCTTCTTTTTCGCTCTCCGGCGCACCTCGTCCTCGCCCCTATCATCCCCCTCTCCACTTGTACCCATCTTCCTTCTCGGCAGCGACGCAGGGTGGTGTCGGATGCGAATTGAGCTGCTGGTGCGAAGGATATGCGCTGCAGGGATCGTGGACGTAGTGGTGGAAGAGTCGTGGTAGTTTGGGGATTCCGGACTGCGATTTTCGAGAGCGACCCGGGAACGGCAGTCGATTTCTGTCATC